TGACCAAATCTATCAATGTCACGTACACCCATACATTCAGCACCCATACATTCAAATGATATAGATCAATCATGGGTGTGTAGCATGAAAATTACATATTATGTGATCAGAACATGTCTATTTCCAATTGGTCCAACTTTATTTCTTAAGCGAGATCAATATTAAACATAATAACAGAGTGAAATGAACTGAATACTTTATTTCTATACAGAAAAATATCCAAGTACACAAATGTATCCAAAAAAACTATACACAAAGCAGTGAAAATTCAAACTCTCACTAAAATATGATATCGTTAAGAAATACAACATCAATACGAGCAATGTGCTCATGAAGGACCTTGGGTGGCAATCTCTTAGTAAACAGATCTGCAATCATGAAATTTATCCTAATGTGCTCTATAAAATCTATCCATTCTGTACTCTTTCTTTCACAATTAGGAACTTAATGTCAATGTATTTTGATTTAGATGAGCTCCTGTTATTGGAATACAGAATTGTTGAGTTTTTGTCACAATATAACTTTAGCGGTCTTTTTATGCCATTGAGAATGCGCAGTTCAATGACAATTTCGTAGCCATATTCTATGGTTAGATGCCTCATAGTATGCTACAAATTCTGTTGCCATGGAGAAGAAGCTATAAGTGTCTGCTTGGCACTCTTCCAGGAAACATCTCCTCCAGCTAGCAGATAGATATAGCATGTGAATCTCCTACTATTTGACATCCAACAAAATTAGAATCGGAGTACCTTATGATCTCTAGCTGATCCGATCTATTATATGTGAGCATGTAATATTTTTTTTCTCTTTAAATATCTCATAACCTTTTTGGTTGCCTTCCAATGATCCATCCCATGGTTGCTTAAATATCTGTCTAACATTCCAACAATGAATATTATGTCTGGACATGTACAAATTTAAGCATACATTAGACTCCCAACAGGTGATGAATAGAGAATCTTATGCATTTCCTTAACTTCAAGGTCATTTTGCAAGCATTGTTTGAGACTAAATTTGTCTCCATTAGCGATAGGGACATCACTTGGTTTATAGTCTTGCACGCCAAACCTCTAAAGTACTTTATCGATGTAGTTCTTTTGCGACAATCCAAGAATACCTTGAGAGCGAGCCCGATGCATATGAATTCCTAATATAAAGAGAGGTGTCAACTAGATTTTTAATCTCAAAATTCCTTGATAAAAATCTCTTGGTTTCGTGCAACATGCCTATATCATTAGTGGCAAGCATTATGCCATTAACATACAAAACTAGGAAAATATGATTACTCCTGTTGAACTTGTGATACACACAATTATCAACAGCATTCATCTCAAAATCAAATGAGATAATTACTCGGTAAAATTTGTGGTACTATTGATGGGAAGCTTGCTTGAGCCCATAGATGGATTTTTTTTTATTTGAAAACCATATTCTTTGGGTCTCCAGACACAATTTTCTGGTTGCACCATATAGATTGTCTCATCAATATTGCCATTGAGAAATGCTGTCTTAATATCCGTTTGATATAACTAAAGGTCAAAGTGCGTAACAGGTGTCATAATTGTTCTGAAAGAGTTTTTCGTTGAAATTGGAGAGAAAGTTTATTTGAAATCGATGCCTTTCTTTTGGGTAAAGTCTTTAACTTCAAGACGAGTGTTATATCTTTCCATATTACCTTTTGAATTCCTCTTGATTTTAAAAATCCATTTGCAACCGATGGGCTTCTCACCTTCGAGTAACGGAAAAAGATCCCAAACTTTATTGTCTTGCATAGGCTTATACTCTTCATTCATGACATTAATCCACTTTTGAGAGTTAAAACATTGCAAGGCCTGATGGAAATTGATTGGATCATCTTCTACCATTCCATTATTTTCCTCATGTTGTTGGAGAAATACTATAAAATTATCTGGAATAACATTTTTCCTTTCTCTCGTGGATCTCTTTAATGGTATTGGCTCTTGAGGTTGTTGAGTGTGTACTTCTAGAATCATTACCTCATTTTGGATGGGAGGTTCTTCAACATTGTCTTGTTGAGGTTCTGGATATACTTCTTGATTAATGATAGGCATAGAAATCTCTACATTATTAAAAACAATAGTAGGAATCGAAATCGATTATTCCTCAACTTCTTCCACAAGGAGAATGTCTCTAGCCTTATTTCTCTCCCCAAACTCAACATCCTCAAAGAATGTTATAGTTCACGTTTCAAAAATTGACTTAAGTATGTGATCATAAAATTTATATCCCTTAGATCTTTCAGAATAACCAATAAAATAGCTCTCACTATTTTGGAGTCCAATTTCTTTTCATGTGACCTATAGGGCCTAGTCTTAGCTGGACATCTCTAAATATGAAAATGCTTTAGACTGGGCCTTCTGCCTATCCAAAGCTCATAAGATGTTTTGGCAGTAGCTTTAGCTGGTACTCTATTTTGAATATAAGCCGCGGTCTTTAATGCCTCTCTTTAGAGTGATTTTGGTAAGCTGGAATGACTAATCAAATCCTTACTATGTCCTTAAAAGTATTGTTTCGTTTTTTAGCTACACCATTTGTGCTAGGGGATCTTGGCATGGTGTATTGTGGGATGATTCCACATTCATTTAGAAATTTAGCAAATGGTCCTGGACATTGTTCACCCGAATTGTCATATCTGCCTTAGTACTCATCACCATGGCCAGACCTATAATGCTTTTTATCATTTTGTTGAGTTGATTCTCAACCTCAATTTTAAAAGTTTTGAACACGTCAAGTGACTTAGACTTTTCATGAAAAAATAATCTGGATTCTAATCTAAATTTTGGGGATGAAATAACATAATGCATAGAAAAGAATGTCAAAATATCGCTTCTAACCTCAAAAATTGAAAGAATGTCTCAAGTCGATATTTATCTGAAAGAACGTAGGATTACCGATCTCCTTTTTTTTTTTTTTTTTTTCTTTTTTCTTCAAATAGAAAACTTGAAAACACACTAAAATCCCTCAAAAGAGGGAAAGCATAGCCTAAATCAAAAAAGAAAATTACACCGTTGACTTTAGAAAATACGATCCATTTTTTAGATGAGTAAGTACATCTCTACACTTTATTAAATTATCGAATTTTATACTAACTAAATTTATAACTCACATTCCAGTTTACTACAATTCAGAAATCATAAATTAGTGATTAAGTAATTCAAACATTAAGTAAAAATATTACATAAATCAATTAATTATGTAAATCTTAAGAAGTGAAATTAAAGGTTTAAATTTAGGTTACATCGTTATGCCCAACTAATTGTTTAGTTAAACATCAAAAAGGAAGAAACACAAGAAAAATGTATTGGAATACATCATGAGTTTAAAGGAAAAACGAGAAAAAAAAACGAAAATCTTGCTCTAAGAATCGCATTCTTTCTATCCTTCTTGTTCTCTCTCCTTTTATTCTCTTATCCTTTTTTGATTTGACCTAAATTAGGTCTTTAAATAGTGACTAAATTGCAAAAACCGTGGAACCTAAATTTCCCAAATCAAATAACGATCTAGAAAAAAGGGAAAAAAATAGAGGCAGAAGGATTGCGGTTGGATCACAGCTAAAGTTGTTCAAAAAAAAAAAAAAAAAGGTTGAATCCCAATCTTGAGGGCCTCCATCGACTAGTCCCTAAGGCTTTGTGAGGCAAGTAAATCGCGGAATGTAAGGGAAAAAGAGTTGCTTAAAGTTGTTCACTATTACAGCGAGTGGACCGTGGCTAGCAAGTCGCTATTTGATTCCTCCAACTTTCTACTTTTCGAATTTTGATCCCTATTTAAGTTTCTTGTATGATTATTATTTTATCTTAATGTTATTTGAAAAAGTAATATTATTTATAGTTGTTCACTGTCATAGTTGTCCTACGTAGCATACATATGACTGTTATTATTTTGATGTATTAATGTGTTAATAAATCAAATCAATAACCACCACATGTATGTTACGTAGGGCGACTGATGTAGCGAGCGATTATAAATAACATTATCCTATTTTAAAAGAAATTATGAAGAACAATTTGAAAATAGAAGATAATGAGAATAATCGTTCACATTATAAGATTTTAAGTAGTTAATAAAATTGTCAAGTTGACTCGACAATTTTTGTATATGAAAATGAAACCTTATACAACTTGCCTAACTCCATAACTAGAATGGACTGGTCGAGTATAGCTTGATCTTAGAAGTGAGTTAACTTACACGTGTTGCATATGCATTTACGAGAAATGATATAAAAAACATATGAAGTCATTTTCAATAAGTATAAAATTGGACATTTAATTTGTAGATAAAGTATTTAATTGAAAGTATGTGAAATGACAAACTTTCTCCCTAGTCAATAAAAGATTAAAATTCCTCCATTTTCGGTGCTCTCTCTCTCTCTCAATAAAAGAAATAAATTAAAAATTACTCGAAACTCAACCGTTCAGACCCCTACACTAAAAAAGGTTGAACCCCAACCTTGAGGGTCCCCCATCGCCCCTGCCCTAAAGCATCGTGAGGGAGGTAAATCGCAGGTTATGCCTCCAAGAGTATATGGTGGAAGGCTGCTTGTACACTTGCACTTACTCAAGAGCCAAATCCATATTTCAGGATTCGAACCTTTGAAGCAGCAGCCTCAAGCAAAGTTGAATTTCTCCACCCTCCCCTTTTACCACTTGGAGATGTGCCCTGGGAGTTTCAGACCCCTACACTTTTAGTAGTGGATGTGGGTTTACTGATAATTCGGTGTTGATCTTAAATGCATTCATAAATTCGTGGGTATAAAAATAAAAGAACAATAATCAATATAAATTTAAGATTTGAAACTTGAAAATGAAGTTTATTATTGTCTTTCATTTATTTTCATCCAAATAATTTTTAAAATATATACATAAATTCGTGATTCATAGTATTGTATCAAAATAAGAGAAGATTAATCAATATAAAAACAAGATTTTAAACTTGAAAATGAAATTTATTATTGTCTTTCATTTGTTTTCATCCAACTAATTTTACTGCGGATACAGTGGTGGAATACTCTGTTCATTCCTGAAGAAATTCTCAGGATCAAACTGAAATTTCACCTCTGCCAATTTCTTGAAATTATCTTTGAAATACTTACGACCCCAAGTATCAGCGGCTTGTGAATAAGTTGCATTTCCACTCATATCCATCCCCAAATCCAAATCCCTGTAGTTCAAATAACCAGCTCTTGGCTTGGGAAGATAATTTCCGGCAACATTATAAAGCCTGTTAATCCATTCAAGACTATTTTTCATCGCCTGATCCCCAGTTATATTCCAATTTGTGTAGTATAGTATGTTAAACAAAGTCCCAGCTCTATAAGGAAATGGGGTTTTATTTTCTGGAATTTCACTTAATATTCCACCATAAGGTACCAAAATCATAAGCCTTTGTCCACCTCCTTCCTGCATAAATGCTTCCCAGATTTTCTTTAGGCCTTTTTTCGATATGGGTTTTGTCACAAAATCTGATTTAGCTTTGAAGAACTTGGGTCTAAGATTAAGATGCCTGTTCAATAAATCAGGAACAGATTCGTTCCTTTTGTAGCCGTCATCGAAATATAGTGCTGATTCAATCCAGGTGAGTTCTCTGCAATCTTCGGGTTTCAATTTTAGTTGTGGGAAATGCTTTTTCATTATTGGTATGAGTTGGTCGATTGGGCCTTGATATGCGGACTCAAAATTAGCTTCAATTGTGGGCATCCCTTTTTCATTCTGTCCCATTAAAATGAGTATTCTTAGGAAAAGATCTCTAGGCAACTGGTTTTCTAGTTTCTGCCACTTTTGGATGAGCTTTGTCGCACCTTGTTCTAAGGATCTTTGAACTGTAAAAACGGTCACTTTAGGAGGAACATGGACTAATTTGAGTTTCCACGCGACAAGGACGCCAAAACTTCCAGCCCCTCCTCCTCGTATCGCCCAAAAAACATCCTCCCCCATGCCTTTCCTGTCGAGAAGTGTCCCATTTGCATTGACTATATATGCATCTATAACGTTGTCTGCTGCTAGACCATATTTTCTCATCAAGGTACCCTGTCCACCTCCACTTATATGGCCTCCTACCCCTACACCGCGACACAATCCGGATGGAAAAGCTAGCGTCCCACTTTTATTTGCAATGTTGTAGTATACCTCGCCTAATGCTGCGCCGGCTTGAACCCATGCTGTCTCATCTGTTACGTTAACATCAATTTTTCTGTATTGTTCAAGATCAAGAAGGACGAATGTTCCTCTACCGTCCCAATACGATAGGCCTTCGTAGTCATGGCCCCCACTTCTAACTCGTAAATCGAGATTAAATCTTTTGGAACATTTAACTGCCCCTATTATATGGTTAGGATTGTAGGGTGTAATTATATAACGAGGCTTTGATACGTTGGAGGAATTGAATCTTTGGTTTCTAAGTTTTGATTCGAAAATAGGCAGATAGGATGGTGAGGATTTGTTGTAGAGGACCGAGTCTAGCTGCTTGGGAGATATATTAGCTTCATGGAGTAGGCATTCATGGAATTGATTGTTCTCCTCAGATAATGTTTGGTTGTGAGAGGCAACTAAGAAAGGCAAAGAAAATAGTGCAAATATAATGGAACCTAAAGGTGCCATTTCTGGTAAACCTCTGCTTCTTTCACTGTTTGTTCAATGGAGAATTTTGTGTGAATATATACAGAGACTGCATGCATCCAATCTTAAGGATGCTGTTTCAGAAGTAAATGACAAAGGAGCTTTAAATAATGAATGTTAATGTTGAATTGAAGTGTCTTTAATTAAATACGTTTACATAGGGAAGTAAATGCTCTCTGATAATGCAAGATATAATAAATGTTAGTCTGTTACTTTCATTCCTAACCTTTCAAATTCAGTCATTCCTAATGTTGTTTTCGATTCAGAAATTCATCTAAAGATAAAACAAGAAAAGCAAAGAAAAGATAATTATTATTATTATTATAATTATTATTATTCTTCTTCTTCTTCTTCTTCTTCTTCCATTTTTGGTGTTATTTCTAATCTCTTTTCTTTATTTAAAATAGAGAGGCACATTACGACATTTGTCTTTTAGTCCACTTTAATGGACGTTTTCATCGAAAACCATCGTTAGGACCACATGCCAGAAAAGAAAGGTTGGATCACACTTCCAAGCAAGAAGAGTTGAGATAAAAGTACGAAAGGGTTGAGGTTGGTGACAACAACTCCAAATTTTTAAAAGAAAATGGAAGTATGTAAAGAAAGAAGGAATACATTCGTTTAATAAACAAAGTGAGAAGGATACATGTTAGACACTAATATTGCAGATGTCTATAATGATTAAAAGATGCTGGAAGATGATGAAAAAGCAAATGCTCATAACATTCAAAATTATAAGGGACGATACAAGCTTAAAAGAATCCTAAAACATAATAATATACTGTATTATTAGCTGTTACATAGGTAGCAAACTGTTTTCAGTGAATCAATCTCTTCCCTCTGTTTGGAATAATCAAAGGAAGAGGTGGGATGCTCTGTTCATGTCTGAAGAAATTCTCAGGATCAACTTTTGTCTTTATTTTTACTAGTCTGTTGAAATTGTCTTTGAAATATCTGGCGCCCCACGAACTTGCTTCTATGAAACTAGTACCGTTTTTGTTCATACCCAAATCGAGATCCCTGTAATTCACATAAGCTTCTCTTGGGAACATGGATGCATAAGGAGCCATGTAATTGTACAGTTTCCTTATCCACTCCATGTGCTTCGTCACGGATTCTGGTTTATCATCGTTCCATCGGGCAAGGTATTGTATCTTAAATATGACACCTTTTCTGTGAGGGAATGGAATTTCAGATTCTGAAATTTTACTCATCATGCCACCATAAGGAGTCCATATCACCAATGGTGATTCTTCTTCAAGAAGCCTTTTCCACAGCCCTTCAAGTCCAGTCTCTGGGATTGGTTCTTTTATGAAGTCTGATTTGGCTTTGAAGTAGTCCTTGAATAAGGCCTTACCTTGAAGCAAAACTTCAGGTGGTGTATTCGGCGGGAAATTACCAACATACATCACTGATTGGATCCAGCTCATTTCAGTGCAGTCCTTTTGTGTCAATCCCAATTCTGGGAAACTTTGGTTCATTATTTGGAGCAATCTATCAGCTCTGCCTAGAAATAAAGCTTGGTACAAAGTTTGAACCGTCTTCTCGCCCTTTTGAGCACCATCTGCGTTAAAAATGATGACTCTGATAAACAGATCCTCATCAAGTTTATCAACAACTTGTTGCCATCTGTGGAGAATCTTTGTGGCACCTTGTTCCAGGGTTTTTGGAACAGTGAAACCTGTGACAGTTGCTGGAACAGGGACTAATCGGACTTTCCATGCGAGTATGATTCCAAAACTAGCTCCACCACCACCTCTAATTGCCCAGAAAAGATCTTCCCCCATAGATTCCCTATCAAGAATTCTGCCACTGGCATCAACTATTCGTGCATCGACAACATTGTCAGCTCCGAGGCCATATTTCCTCATCATGGAACCATATGCTCCTCCAGTTATGTGCCCTCCAATTCCTATGCTGGTGCAAAGTCCACCAGGGAATCCATGAGTTTTGCTTTTTTGTGAAATTCTATAATAAAGTTCACCAATAGTGGCGCCAGCTTGAACCCATGCACTATTGTCCTGTATATCTACATGTACATTCCGAAGTTTCGATAGGTCTACAATGAGAAAAGGTTGATCCATTTCTGACATGTACGAGAGGCCTTCATAATCATGGCCTCCACTTCGGACTCTAAGCTGAACTGCTACCTCTTTTGCGCATTGAACAGCTGCCTGAACATGATTTTCAGTTAACGGGGTGAAGATCAGCTGAGGTTTCGGCACAGAAGGCATCAAATACCTTAAATTCATGGCAGAAGATTCAAGGATTGAACTATATGAAGCATTGTCAGGGGCATAAAAAGCTGTTGAAAATGGGATAGAAAGCTCGGAATTGAGGGAAATGCACATATAGAATTTTTCTTGAATTGATTGTGAAGTAGCAACCCATGAATTTGATACGAGAATCAAGAATAATGCAAGGATAAGAGAATTTGAGGATCCCATATGGTAAAGATACTGAATTAAGTGATTTTGTTATGCTTGTGTTGAGAAGTGAGACAAATAAGTCCTATTTATGGATTCTTGTAGTCTCTTGCTTACTCTATATGTGACCTATTGCCAACGTAATGTTCAAGAAAGATTTGTTAGGTACCTTGGAATGATGAGGTCAAGAAAATATACTTTAAGAAGATCCAAGTTTCGTTTACTTTTGACTCCAAAATTTTCAATGAATAAACACATTTCTTGCCTTCCACTAGCAATTTGCCCCCTTTGTTGCTTATACAATATGTCTTAAGTGGCGTTCACCAATTTTTAATAGACTCATCAAGGTTGGTATTGGAGTCCTGAATTAAAGATCATTCGAGAAGAAATATCGTCATGAGTGCTCCTTGATGTACAAATTAAGCCTTGATCTATACCCTTTCCGAATTTAGATAAAAATCTGATTTTTAGTGGAGTTGGTATAAGTTTATAGAATATATTGTTGAAAAGATGTGGGTTCTATTCAATCTATGATTAAAATAACTGTTGATTTTGATTTTGATTTTAATAAACTTTTTTAGTCGAACCAAACAGGGGCCTATTCTAGTTAAAGTCATACAACACAACGAAAATTGATAACCAAAAATGTAAATACAATTTCTTTGTAATTCAACATTCATGAAAAAGAGAGCTCGATTTTTCTCACACATCTCAGACATTTAAAACCCGCTACCCGCATCGTTGAATTGTATAGAATATGTAATATATCCCTTATTATGCTTCAATATTAGAAAAATTCTACAGTGGAGATGATAAACTGTATAATATATTTTGGTTTCACATAGTTTAAACCAAGAAAGCAACTCCAATAATGCCCACTTACTGACCATGTTAATGACAGCGGTCAACTTCACCAGCAAATTCAACTTCTTTTTGGCCGAATTTTATATCACTAATCAGAATGGCCATCTTCATAGAGGCGAAAGATGATTTTAGTTAAGCTCTGTTCTTTCTTTGTTATTCTATGCGATTTTGAGTTTCATACTAAAATTTCAACTTAGTTAATAGCCCAAATCATTATATATTTTATATTTTATTTCATCTTTATAATTTTATTGAATTTAAATTTATATTTTAAGTAACGCTAAACTCTTATAAGATTTACTCATAACATATTACAGCAAGATGGCTATTTGTTTGAGAACTTCAATCTTGAATCTTTAATTATGAACTTTAGTATTTCATGTTAAAAAGGTCATCGTTATCAAGAAGAGTCGCTCAAACCCTTACAAATTTATCGTTGAGAGATGGCGGCTTATTTAAAAACATCAATCTTGAAATTGATTGCTCATTTCAGATAGTTGCTATCTATTAATTTTTGGCTTGTTGCACGACAATTTCCCCACCTTGTGCTTCGCGAGGCAAAAATCTTTTGCATCTTGTTCAACTTAGTCCCTGACTTCCTCCTTTTGCTCAACTCGAGTCTCTTTCTCTTTGCATATTGGGTCTTCATCTTTTAATCGTAACACGATCCCCATCCTCCACAATCATCCGTAATCGATCCATTTCAAATTTCGAAAGTTTAAAATTAAGTCCTTGAACTTTCCATATGTTGGATGTGGCTCAAATCCTTTAACATTTGCTTATAATAATATTAACGAATCATTTTTGTTCATGTTAATTGGTGTTAATTGTTAAAAGAAGAAGTCCCAAACAAGATAATAAATTCCTTATACCAAAAACTGGAAAACCCTCAAAACCTTAAGAAAAGTGTGCATGGGCCATATAAGTTTACCCTCAAAAGGAACATGTAATCATTTAGCTTCCTCAAACATCTCCGCAGATAAAGGTTCAATCTGAATTTTCAGTTCAATCAAGCAAAGAAATGGCAATTACGTAACGCTATATATGATTTAATACAATTACGTTTATGTTGCTTTCAGAGAGGTTCTTTAAATTGAAGTTGAAGATTGTTCAAGAAGATAATCTTGGCTTAGAAACTTCAGCAACTCAGGTTTGCTTTACGGCAAGGTTTTCTTTGTTTTATATTTTCTTGAGTAATTATTATTGACGACTCGACTCGACTTGACTTTGTTGGATGAAATAAAAGAAAGGAGGTGGAATGGAGAAATGTAACGGACAAATCCTGTCTCACCAAATCATACACGAACATACATAGACCATTATGCTAGATAAATTGCGAGTTTTTTTTTTTTTTTTTCGTGGCGGGGGGGGGGGGGGGGGGGGGGATTTTTTTTTTTCGTGGCGGGGTGTGGGGGAGGGGGGGTGATGAAATGCAAGTTTTAAGATATGAAAGATTCGTACTAGTCACTATGAACATATTTGTCCACATAATAAGATTATTTGTTGTAGTTTCTTAATTTATTAAGAAAAACCATTATGCTACACTATGTGAATGGATTATTCAAATACAAAATTCAATTTATAAAACATATTCACATAGAACATTGTGAGCCACTGGTTTATTAGTTGACATTAATTGTGCCACTTTTTCAATAACTTATCTTTATCCTGTAATTATTTTAAGTGCATTTCAATTTTGTTGTTAATTTGGCTATATAATATTTGATATTAGCATAGTGGGTGGCTGATAAAGCATAGCAATATCACTAAGTGTATATTCTCTGTACATCCTCTGAAAACATATAAATTTAGGGCTTGCCAAGTAAGAATGCACTTGGGCATTTCGCTCACCGTCAGTCTCGGCTCAGCCCACCTACTACACGAGTCAGTTCGCGCTCGTCCCTGGGATCAGTGGCGGATTTAGTAGGTGGCCAACTGGGCGGTTGCCCTAGCTGGATTCGCCGGGGAGATTTTTTATTTTATTTTGATAATAGATAAAAAATTTAGGTTATATAACTGGTTTTTCACTTTGTTTCTAAACCTCTCTTTTACTTGGTTAAAGTTTCCTTTTTTATATTGTGAGTCTTGGGTTCGATTCCTACCTTTCCATTTCATTGTGCAAAATTTTTATTTTTACAATATTTACCAAAATTAATTCTCCAATGGAAGGATTTGAACCTATAACTTTTAGAATTAGGATAATTAGAAGATTAACCATCATGGCAATGGTTAAATTTTGAATCTAAATTTAACAAAATAATATATTTTAAGACTTTAGGAGAGGTTTTTTTTTTTCTTCTACGTTTAATCTTTTATTAACGTTCAATTCTCATACTACTTATGGAATGATTTTTTCAATTGAATTTCAATCTAGTTCTTGTAGTGGTGTATCTAAGCTCTCAACTATTTTTAGTCAAGCAAACGATTTGTTAGGCATTGATAATACAAAGAAGTCTTATGTATCATGTAATTTATATTATTTCGGATTGTATGAAAATATAATATGATATAAATATACGATTTTTACGTTTTAGTATATTTACATAATGATCGAAGGATTTTTAATATTATTTAATTTAATATTAATAAACAATATCGCTAGATAACGGCCAACGATTAACGGCTACCCTAACTGAATCAAAGTCCTGGATACGCCCCTACCTGGGATGAGCCGAAGGCGACCTGTCTCGCTTCACAGAATTGTGGTTCGGCTCAACTCGGCTCACGAACTTACCCCTTGACGTTCTTTTACTGAAATTACATTTTCTCTCCTAGCTTATGAGGCTTGCACAAAAAAATTGTTGTTTAGCTTTCGTCCGTGACTCGCCCCACTTAATAAATGCACCTAAAATTGATTATACTTAAAAAAGCTCGATAATGTAATTAAACGTCGAAATTTTGGGAATCAAATATTCATTTAACATTCAAATTAACAAAATTGAAACGATTAATAAGCGGGATAACCATGCCCTCCTAGCTATAAGTGGATTGAGCAAGAAATCCCCAATGAGGTGGGTTTGAGGGTTGGTGTGGGAGGCGTCCTCAACCTACCTCATTTCCATCCTCATATGGACATAATGTTTAGGCCATGTAAGGTTCATCTCTAGGCTAGATGAGGGAGTGGTTCAAACCCTTGCTACCTTACTGTTTCAGCGAATGGTGAACCTCCAGACTTGAGAAGCACACCTCTCCCTTCTTCCTCTCAAACTTCCTTATGACAATAGATAGAGTGGTGTCAAATCAAGTGGGTAACACATGGCCCGTCCAGGATAGACCCGATAAAGATGAATTGTGAATCGGCCCACAATTCAACTGAGATGGTTTACATGTTGATAGATGTAAAATTCAGTCCGTTAAAATGAATGGATCCGACGATTAACCATTAAGCCCATTAATATTTGCCTTCTTCCTTTTCTCTAGGGGCGTTACAACCTAGAAGAAAGCTTAGGCTGTCACAGACCATGAAAGCCACTATCACAGTGACTGTCATAGCCTTTGATAGGCTTCACAGACAAAGCCTTGTTTGACAATCATCATAATGAGAAATGTGGGTAAAATAAATTTTGTAATAATAGTTTTTGGCAGAATGTGTGGCACAATAAGAATGAAATGATTTTTTATTTACGTATAATATTATTTTATTAAAGAATGTATTATTAAAAAGAAGAGAGAAAAAATGTATTAAAATTGTAAAGTGAATCAAACAATGCCTTCTTTAAGTTTAAAATCATTCATGTTAAAATTAATTTTGATATATTAAGAATGTTTAAAAAAAAAAAATGAAGATGTTTATTTCTTTTTTTTTTTTTTTTTTGGGTCACAAGCCGATTCTAGGGCCCAGGCATAGTTTTCCTGATGGGGTCTTACCTACACGGGCAGGTCCCTTAACAAGATCGAGCCCTTACTTGGGCTGGTTGAAAAGACCCATCGATTTTAATACCGCCAAATAGAAGTATGGGCTCCATGAGATCTTTTCAAAAGAGACGAATCCCATTTGGGAAGGCATATTAAGAAATGACATCTTTGACGTGACTAGGTAAGGAGAACACTTTCATATACACTACGGCAATAGGAAGCATAGAGTCAAAGATAAAATTGTGCAAGGCCAACTGTTAGCCAAAGATGTGTCCAACAAGGTTAGGAATACCCCTAACAAAAATTACCTATGAATACTTCATACCAGTGATGGAGCCAGCACTCAATAAAGGGGCACAACCATGTGCGCTGACTTCGTCAGAATGTTCGGGACCGTAGGGCGTCACCAAGTAGCAACTGGAAAAACAATCAGTGAAGTTGCAGGAAGAAGGAAGGAAAGAGATGATCGAATTTTTTTAATTTATTATCATTACTATTTTTGGGTTTGGGCTGATGGCTGATTATCACAAAATGGACATTATTTGGGCCTATTTTTGTTTAAAAACATTAGGCCCAATTTTTCTTACAATG